AGAGAGAGAGAGAGAGAGAGAGAGAGAGAGAGAGAGAGAGAGAGAGAGAGAGAGAGAGAGAGAGAGGTGAGAAACGTTATACACGAAATGAAGAGGGGAAAATAAAAAGTGAAGAAAAATTGAAGCTGTAAAAAAAGTAAAATCCAAGTAATATAAGTTGTTGGGTCCTTGGGTGTTAGAGGGCGAGATTTGCATATTAAATGCCTGGAGATTTATAACGACAACGTATACATCTGGCATTGGTGCATCGATTTGTCAGTGACTTGGTCGCGTTGATACCGAATAATTAAAAAGCCGTTAGAGAGAAAGTAATATGAAAAAAAAATGATTAAAATGTTTCGATCGGTGTTTGAGTTGCAGGTGGATGAATGAGACGGAGAAAATTATGGAGGAGGTTATCGACAGGGGGATGCAGTGGTGATAGGAGCACAAATTGTTGGGCCACGGGGACCAGCGATGCTGAGACGCGGGGGGTGATGAATGATCCTTTTATACGCTCGCTTGGCGGCTCCGAGGCGTCGTGTATTACGTTAGTGTTGAATTATTGTGAGTGGAGGGCCCCCGAGATGGAATATAATGGGGGCTCACAGGAGGGCGGTGTGAAGCAACCGATTTTCGAAAGTTTAGGGTACGTGACATTCTTTTAATTTTTTTTGTCAATACCTCATTCTACAAAAATTCCTCGTAAAACTGAAAGTTCTTTTTTTTTTGGTTCTGTTCGACTCTATCTTGACGTTTCTACTGTAGCTTCAGCTGTTTACTTTTTTAAACCTCAAGAAGCAGTAAAATATTGAGAATTCTACGGCATATTTATTCACGTTTATCAATTATTCAGAGAAGATATGAATAAATTAATTCAGTTAATTCCAAAATTCCTGCTCTGATCTCGGAATAATTGAAGTTAAATGTTTCATGCACAATAATAGACCGACGTCTCCAACAATTTCCCTCAAGAAAAGATAGAAGCCATCTCCCGCCGGTTGATTGATGGACGCGTCGCCATGTTTATAATTAGAGGCCAAGTGATTTCCGGTGTGCAGACACTCCCCAAACAAACCGAAGATATCGCCCAAGTTATCATTGGGGGGAGAATGAAAAATCCCGTGTCACTCCAAAAGTCAAAACCCAAGAATAGGGTGAAAAAAATGAAGGAAAACGAAGGGTTAAGAGCCCCAGCTGGGGCACTTAATTCTCGTTTAATTCCAGTGGACACATGCACATTCGAATTATTATTGTCATGACACATTTCAGAGAATACGACTTCCGTAATGGTTTATCACATGTCGGTTTAGCGACAACTCCTAACGTTTTATAACGATTTTCCCGCGCACCAAAATCGAACCCACGTGTTCAGGAAACGCCTCGATGCGGGCATTTTGCACACGTGTACGCGATACCGAGAATAAATTCAATGCACTTGTGTTCAATGCCTCTAGTGGATAATTCATGATTCAATAATCATGTTTCTCATTCGCCACGAGTGCCTGATTAATAAATAATTATTGTAATTGATTCGCATTAATTATGAGTGAATGGAGATTATTTCACCAATGAAGATACCGGGCCGAGATCCAACGAAATTACCGCATCCTTCTCATATCTTTCTCTTTTTCTTTTCTCCAACCGCGAAAATTAATTTGCGTGAATGGAATCGGTGCCAAGACAGACGCAATTCATCACAAGATAGTTGACGAAGACGAAACCGTATGAAACGTTAATGTACACGTGCCCCAGTGAGTTAGAGGAGACAGTCTCCAGTATATTTGCCAACGAATAAGTGATTCGAGCCTTGAACGTCGATCGTTAAAACTAATATTTGCACGATTAATTCCATCAACTTCGTCATATTTCGAATGATCGAGATTGCTAAGGTAAACCGACGTTCTTGCTCAATTGACTCACGCGCCATCGTGTTTTTTTTCAACTTTACCGTTTTCAGTTGGATTTACATTTTTTTTTAAACTCACCTCGTTTTTGCATGTAACTGAAGAGATCGTCGAGAAATTCCTTGCGCTTTGGATCGTCGTTTATCTCGTACAGCTGTAAACAGATGAATTACTTAAATAGAAAACGAGTTATTTTGGCACTTGGTTAATTTTATGAATCAATGTTTGAGCCTGAAATGAATAATTTTGGTGGTGATAATTTCACATATTTTTCGCAATTTTTTTTCGGCATTCATTCGCAGGATCTCTTTGGTTTTTGTATTATTTGATAACTACACTGTTGGGAAATGACTCTTGAAATTTCAAGTAAACAATTTTGAAATTGTTAAAAACGACAAAGTCATTAATTTCGTGTATATTTCTTTACTGATGAATCAGTTAATTAGTTGAATATCCAAAAGATTCTCGATTTTGGGAAAACCGAGGTTAAAATTTCACTGAATTCTCAATTTATTGAAAATTCAATTGTATCTGGTGTTCAATTTTCCACCATAAAAATAATTTGTTCGGGATCGTAATATTCAGAATTTTACTAAAAAAATAAGGTATCTGAAAGTTTACACAATTGCAATAATTTATTTATAAACATCGAATGTTTAAAAAAATCATTCTGTGCAAAATGTAATTTGAACGAAGCCGAATATTCATGATTTTTGTCAAATTTTTCCCAAGCAATTTAATTTACAAATTTGATGATTGAAAATGTAAAAGACACTTGGACATCCTTAAATGAAATTCAAACTCACGATATCGAGAATTTAGATGACACTGAAATTTTAAGAAATTTCCAACAGCGTAATCACTCACCTCAAAATATCCAATAAATAATTTCATTCAATTGCCCCATGATGTCGGATGAATGAAACTGAAGGGAAATGATGAGAAGAAATTCATTTAAAAAAACGTCTTTCTCCAACAGTAGGTGGAGTTGAAAAAAAAATTCTTTCGGACTCAAAGTGAAACATTACGCGCGTGTGTGTAATAAAAACAGCAGTGAAAACGAGCGTGCTCATAGCGACGGACAGATTAGTTAACTCCGATTATTAATGATTCCGTTTAACCCGTCTCTCTCTCTCCTCCCCCACCCATTGGTCCCAAGAGGAGACCCTTGAGGCCATAGCGAGGCGTATTATCATATTTGTTATGTACGATGTGCTATATCTAATCTGAAACCCTCTAATTGCTTTTATAATGCCTGGGCCCCCACACTGCCACCCCTTGAACGCCCGCGCGCCGCCAAAAAAATACTGTTTTATTTTTTCTCTACTTCATTTTCTTCATCTTTGACTGCCTATCATCATCAATCCCCCTCCCCCCCTTGAGCGCAAACATTTTCGCGCATGGTACCCCCTTTCCCCACCCGAAATGCCGATAAATTTCGGCTCGACTCAATTCAGGAATATGAGATATTATCCCCGGGGGAATTTGGGGATAATTAATTAAGGAAGGTGGTCGTTCATTCTTGCTAGTTTAAACTCGAGTGAAGAAGCGAAAATAGAGAAAGATAAAAATTCAAAAGTTCTTTTTTATATTTTAAATAAGTAGGGATCATCCGTCAGACAGAATAGATGAACTTCACATTATATGAAATTTTTGGCTGGAATTACCAGTATACTGCTGGGAAATTTTGTCATGTTGTTGTTCTTATGAAGTTCTGAGGAATTCGAAAAATGACAATTTAATGAAGAAATCAGTGGAAACCGAAAATGTCAGTTGAATTATTCCTCGAAAATTGAACGAAATCAGGAGAATTCAGGTGAATAGATTCTTTAATTTTCAATTGAAGAAAAATTCTGCATAATTTGTTTGAAAATTCAAGTAAATGGGAAAATCCTCGTCCTCCAAAATTTGGAATTCTATTAAATTTTCAGTGCGATCGAAAACTTCATTATTGTTTCCCCTTAAATCAAATTGAATATCACTCTCCTGAAAATGACGATCCAACTGTCCCCGAAAATTTAATGTTTTCCAAACACTGTATGCCCGAAATTAGAACAAACAAAAGGATAAATAGAGGATGTCACAACACAGGTGGTTCACCCATTCCATTCACCTGACAATCGATAATATCGAGGATTGATATCCCCCCCAAGTTTAGGCCATCAATGATCCATGCGCCGGGGTAATCAAGCAAAAGGTGGAACGAGGACCTGAGAAATGATCCGGGTGGCAGGATCTTGATCGCCCGTTCATTTGTTCCCAATCCCCCTCCCCTCAAACCGCGCATCGCTCCGCTCAATTTTTTTGTTTCATCTCACCTCGGCAACGCCCCCGTATCTCTTTCCCATACCCTCTCACCCCCACCGCAATTCCCTCATGAACGCGGCATTTCTCAAGGGCCATTTTGTAACCATTTTCTTTGGTTTTTTCATGCCTCTCCATCGTGTGCCTCTTCATTTGAGCTCTCTCTCCCTCTCTCTTGTATTTAAGTACTCAAGGAGGTTTACCAAGAGATACGAGGCTCGTTAGAGAGTGAGAGAAAGAGAGAGAGAGTAATGGCGAGGGGGTGGGGAGGGGGAGGGAGGGGGGGATCGTTTGGGTTCAAGCAGTATTGATTGATCTATAGTTGAGCGGACTGACGGCAGCCCTGGAAAAAGGGTCCGGAACAACGAGAGAGGCAAATAAAGACCCCACAAGTATCCTCTCTCTTCCTTTTTTCAAATATTTATTTATTTTTCGTTTTAAACTTCTGAAAGATGCATGCCCACCGGCTCCGCCCCACTTCTTCCCCTTAAAACCTTGTATGCGCATATAATGGCACGTGAATAATAATCGGCCCAGCGAAGAGCGTTAATCGAAGGCTCTTGACCTTTTCCCCTCTGTGTGCATTCATTTAAATTTTCGAGTTTAAGGATACTCAAGTGCTTCGCTCAAGTTAGCAACTTTTTTGCAAGCAAGAATTTCAGTTCTGCCGGAAGTCTTGCCACCCCCATACACGGAGAGAAATTTTTTATTAAAATTATCCTACGGTTCTGTAAAAGGGTATCATGAGTCATCGTTTCCTCATTTCTATCTCTGAGTTTGAAGTGTTGAATATATTTTTTCGGGAAGTTCTTCAATGAATATTGTGAACAATATTTTATTCAATTTCACATTTGGAATTGAATAAAACTGATATTTGCAGTTTTCATTAATTTCTTCACTGAATTGTCATTTTTTCAATTCCTTACGACTTTGAATTCCTTTGACTTTGTTGAATATATTTTTTCGGGAATTTCTTCAATGAATATTGTGAACAATATTTTATTCAATTTCACATCTGGAATTGAATAAAACTGATATTTGCAGTTTTCATTAATTTCTTCACTGAATTGGCATTTTCTTAATTCCTTACGACTTCATGAGAACATAAATTGATAAACATTTGCAAGAAGTATCCACTCTCGTTGTATATTCGAATTTTTCATTGTTGAATCTTTAAACATTTTTATCTGTACTTTTTTCTTTCGCTCCGAATTATCCTCTTGAATTTTTAAACGCAATAACAATGATGAAAAAATACGTTTCAGGCAAACACAAAAGCACTAGTGTATGGAGGTGTATATTGTATTTGGCGCAGCCATTCGCCTGACTAAGTTTTACGAGCAATAATTATCGATGCGCAACTCTTTTGCCATATAGACCCCAAAGAGATGTACCGATACTGATGGGGGCTCTCCAGTGTGCGCCCAACTTGGCCGTCTTCCGGGAGCGATAGTGAGGGCTGATTGTGAGTGAACCTCCCACCTCCATTCACGTGCTTGTCGCATTATTGTATGGATTTTCAGGGGTTTTGAGGGTCGACAAGAGATACTGCGGACTCGTGAGTCGTTTGAGGAATAATTTGTTAATTGTGAACGGGCGATAGTTAACACGAGGATGCGAACATTTCAAATGGTGTTTGATGTTTGAATAATTGGTTTGAGTTGCTTTTTCAACTTTTTAATTTTATGTCACACCGTGCAATAAGTTGAGTTTATCGCACGACGGGGGCAGCGTGCTTCAAACTCGACGTCTGGATGGAGTGATGACATAAAATATTATAGACCATTCGAGAATACATTTCGGTTTCAATGAATGTGGATACAGACAGTGCGAACTTTCAATGTGTGGAAAAAAGAATTTGTGCACTAGTGAAATTTCCGGTATACTTTTTGGACATTTTTATTCCATTATGATGTCACCAGAATTTCAAGGAATTTTGCCATTGAAAATTCATACAAATTGTGGAATTTTCGTCTTCCTGCCGCTAAAAAAATTGGACTTGTCGTCAAAACTTGAAATTCCATTGACTTTTTCCCCTCAAATAGAAGTCAAGATCTTTTTTCGGAAAATCAGGCCAAATTGTTTCAACAGTGCTCTCCTCAAAATTCTGGAATGTCAATGCACTACACGATTACTCAAACCCAAGGGTGATTTTCAACAGAATGTTTTGACGATCTTCGAAAACTACTACGAAAAAAAGTCACTGGATCAACTTTTCGTGAATTTTTTTACTTCACAGAAATTTGAAAAAAAATATGAAAATAGTGTTGCCCTCGGGATGTTCCATATTAGTATTGCAATGGAATAAATAATAAAAACTATTATATGGGCAAGTACTGAATGTTGCGAATGTTTCCATACATCTGGTAAATACTGAATGAATGATATTATCTATGCGTAGTTTCCACCAGGGTCTCAACACCTCGTGAAGTCAATGCAAAAGTCCCCATTTTTTTGCCATCAAGACATTCCTCATTGCAAACCTCATGCACAATGTTTTTCCAATTCCACTTCCATCATTCCAATTCGGTTAACGATTCAAGTAAAAAACATTTCAACGCTTTACGACGACCATAAAATGTCATTTGGACAACAAAGTAACATTCATACACTGTCATAATGGTTATCAGTTCTCAGAGCGGAATTAGGTCACATTTTAGCTCTGACAGGGCTGATAAAATTGCAACAAAGTCAGATCGCCATTGAATTGTGCTTTGAAACAATGACATTTATAGAGTTTCAATATCAGTTTCATATTTTTTTCAAATGTCAAATAATATATATGCGTAGAACTAAAAATGCATTAACGAAATAACAACGAAAGAAAAAAAATTCTGATGCGTTTCGGAT